AAGGAATTTCTCTAAAGAGAATCAGAGAAGCATCAAAAAAAAATAACTATATACACAGTACCTCCAAAACAAGGGGATGTTATGTAATCATTAAAATATAAATTTATTGACAAGGAAAATAGCCATATATTTGAGCAGCATAAAAGACTGTTACAGCTGCATGCTATTTGTTATTCCATTTAAGTAAAATTTTTGTGTAGAATTACTGGTATCATGGCATACTCTGAATGTCAGCTAATTTTTTTTTTTTAAAGATTCTATTTACCTGACAGAGAGAGACACAGCGAGAGAGGGAACACAAGCAGGGGGAGTGGGAGAGGGAGAAGCAGACTCCCAGTGGAGCAGGGAGCCCGATGTGGGGCTCGATCCCAGGACCCCGGGATCACAACCTGAGCTGAAGGCAGACACTTAACGACTGAGACACCCAGGCACCCCTGAACATCAGCTAATTTAACACCTATTCCTCCTTTCCCTTAGTCCATCTATATTAGTTCTCAGCCTCCTTTACAGCTAGAGGAGGCTATGCAGACACTATTATGGCTATTGAGACCTAAGTAGAAATCTCCTAAGAATATTATAGAAACACGCCTTTCTGATAAAAGTTATACTTGTTGCTATAGCTACCTCTTTCCCCTACCTCTTGCCTTGTAGTCAGGTATGATGACTGAATCTGAAGCAGTTTATTGTCATGTGCCAACCAACACACTAGAGAAGGCACAGTGCAAAGAAAGAAAAAAGCAGGGGTGCCTGGGTGGCTCAGTCGTTAAGCGTCTGCCTTTGGCTCAGGTCAGGATCCCAGGGTCCTGGGATCGAGCCCTGCATCGGGCTCACTGCTCACTGGGAAGCCTGCTTCTCCCTCTCCCACTCCCCTTGCTTGTGTTCCCTCCCTCGCTGTCTCTCTCTCAAATAAAATCTTTTAAAGGAAGGAAGGAAGGAAGGAAGAAAAAAGCTGGGTCTCTGGTAATATTCATAAACCACTACATCAGCGTCTACTGCCCACTTACCCCCCTCGCTTTATGGGGGGGGGATATATATATATATATAATGTACTTTATATATATATATATATATAGTATAAATATTACTTAGTGCTTAAGTAACATTTAGCCAAAACCACCCCAGATGGTTATTTATTATATACATAAGTAAATATATAGCCATTAAGCATATTAAAGCTTTTTATAATTATATTCTCTAAAGGCAAGGATTGGGGTACTAGATACCTCCATTCGAATATCATTGATAGAGTTAATTGATAGGGCCCTTTAGTTAGTCAGTTTGACATTATATTTCAAAAGCTTTAAAAATATTCTTATCCTTTGTTTGACTCTGTAATTCCACTTTTAGATATTCATCAAAGAAATAATAATAAATTTGAAGGAGTACTGCTACAATATATTTATAATATTAATAAACTGAAAACAACATGTCAAAAACATAATGCTGGCCAAATGATTTTATAGTACGGATTTATGATAGGATATTATGCAATCCTTAAAATCATGTAATAAAAATATCTAATTATATAGAAAAATACTTCACAGCATTATGCAAAGTAAAATTCTTTGGGGATAATGAAAGATATTTTTATAAAGATTAGGGAAATGCGATTTCAAGCTATATTACAAAGCTGTGATCACCAAGACAGCATGGTTCTGGCACAAAAACAGACATATAGACCAGTGGAACAGAATAGAGAACCCAGATATGGACCCTCAACTCTATGGTCAAATAATCTTTGACAAAGCAGGAAAAAGTATGCAATGGAAAAAAGACAGTCTCTTCAATAAATGGTGCTGGGAAAATTGGACAGCTATATACAGAAGAATGAAACTCGACCATTCTCTTATACCATACACAAAGATAAACTCAAAATGGATGAAAGACCTCAATGTGAGACAGGAATCCATCAAATCCTAGAGGAGAACACAGGCAGTAACCTCTTCGACATTGGCCACAGCAACTTCTGTCAAGACATGTCTCCAAAGGTAAGGGAAACAAAAGCAAAAATGAACTTTTGGGACTTCATCAAAATAAAAAGTTTCTGCACAGCAAAGGAAACAGTCAACAAAACAAAGAGGCAACCCACAGAATGGGAGAAGATATTTGCAAATGACACTACAGACAAAGCACCAATTTCCAAGATCTATAAAGAACTTCTCAAACTCAACACCCAAAAAATAAATAATCAAGTCAAAAAATGGGAAGAAGACATGAAAAGACACCTCTCAAATGAAGACATACAAATGGCTAACAGACACATGAAAAAATGTTCATCATCATTAGCCAGCAGGAAAATTCAAATCAAAACCACACTGAGATACCACCTGGTTGTGGAGAAAGGGGAACCCTCTTACACTGTTGGTGGGAATGCAAGTTGGTACAGCCACTTTGGAAAACAGTGTGGAGGTGCTTCAAAAAATTAAAATAGAGCTACCCTATGACCCAGAAATTGCACTACTGGGTATTTACCCCAATGACACAGATGTAGTGAAAAGAAGGCCCATATGCACCCCAATGTTCATAGCAGCAATGTCCGCAATAGCTGAACTGTGGAAAGAGCCCAGATGCCCTTCAACAGACGAATGGATAAAGAAGATGTGGTGCATATATACAATGGAATATTACTCAGCCATCAGAAAGGATGAATACCCAACTTTGCCTCAACATGGATGGGACTGGAGGAGATTATGCTAAGTGAAATAAGTCAAGCAGAGAAAGTCAATTATCATATAGTTTCACTTATTTGTGTAACATAGAGAACAGCATAGAGGACATTAGGAGAAGGAAGGGAAAAATGAAGGGGGGCACATCGGAGGGGGAGACGAACCATGAGAGACTATGGACTCCCAAGAAACCAACTGAGGGTTTTAGGGGGGAAGGGGGGTGGGGGGATGGGTTAGCCCAGTGATGGGTATTAAGGAGGGCATGTATTGCATGGAGCACTGGGCGTTATACGCAAACAATGAATCATGGATCACTACATCAAAAACTAATGATGATAGTTTTTTAGTATGGTGACTAACATGACATAATTTAAAAAAAAAAAAGATTAGGGAAATGTCATGAAACATAAGTAGACATTGCTGGATGGTGGAATTACCAGTAATTTTTGTTTTCCTCCTTTTGGTTGTCCATTTCTAAATTTCACATTTCTTTTGTAATGAGAAAAACTAAAGTTATTGTAAATAGACCTATATTTGTTCAGAACAAAGAACTGAAATAAACAAATAGGAACAGATGTAGATTAAATCTAGTTTTATTTCTTCTCTATGAAGCTCATTAATTTGTTTACTTCAGCTAAAAAACAGATTCGCAATAGCAAATTTATCTGACATCAACATAGAAAGCCTTATACATACCAAGAGTAAAAAGCACTCTCAAAAAGTAAAAAGTGAAAAAGTAACAAGAGTACTTATTTTAAATAATTACAGGATTCCATCATGTCCAATATGAATGCACATCCAACAACTCCAAAAGAGAACATGCCAAATCATATACATTGGATATGGGGGAAAATTTTTTTAAATTTGTCATTGAGTCCCATTTCTAGAGTAAGTAAGAAGCAAAAATATGCTGATAAGCCTAAGATAACCTGTGACATAAAAACAATTGAGCCTAAAATCAGGAGGAAAATGGATGAGTTATCTAAGCTTTCCTTAGTTCTTCTTATCTAATCCATATCTTACAGAGATTACCTCTCTGGTTAAAAGCATCCATTTTTATTCAATCTCTGTTGGTTTTCATCCACCTATAGTAAAAATCACCCACGCAGAAGCCAGGGTCTTAAACATTTTTCAAAGACACCAATAAATTCAGTGTGCAGCATGCCATTTCCAACTATATTCCCAGGAGAGTATAGGAGACCCAAGGAACTAATACATTTGTATAAGATGTTGTAAGGATAGTGACTCTTTCCACCTTTTTTATAACCCAAATGTCTTATAAGAAAATTGAGAAGAAAGAGAAGGGAAGGGAAAAGGAGAAAGAAACCAAACAGTATAAAACTATTTGCTAACAAAGTGTGTGTGTGTGTGTGTGTGTCCAAACTCAATTCAAACTAAAGAATAGATTAATTGTAATAAAGAGTATTTAATTTTAGAGATTTTTCATTGAGTTAGATATAAATAAAGCTTTTTAAACACTTCAAATTAATGAAAAATAAATTTTAAGTACTTTAAGTAATTAATAACACAAAAGTTGACTTACCATAAATTTCTAAACCTTGTGGAAAATACTCTTTGTATTCTAAATCCTATCCACTAATGCCTGGGTCCCCGAGGATGCATATCATAGTCAACAGTGCCAATTTTTAATAAGGGATTTGAAAAGGTTGATTTAATTCCCAGATTTTTTTTTTTAATTCCTCCCCATCACCAGGATTAGAAACCCTGGTTACTGAAGATGTTTTATCCAATCAACATCTCTCTCTTTTCTAAGCTACTCAGAAAGAAAAACTGATACCTGGAGAAAGTCACACCTTCACAAATTACCCCAAATTCACTGTGATATTCAAGCTTTATATAAGAAGCTTCTTTCAAAGGATCAGAACCAGAGAATTGAACAGTCGCCCCCTCCAGCTGCTGGAGAAAGCAAAACCACAAAGAGCATCTACTTATGAGATTACTTTTTAGGGGCATAGAATATACTTTAAAAAGGTACATAGCCAAAACCTACAATAAAGATGAATAATAAATATTTACATTCCAAGCCAAAAAATTCCAGTCTAAAAAGAAACATTTGATGTTTTCATTTCTGAATACTGAAGCAAAATGATTATAATAATTTTAATCAAACTTAAAAGGTACACCTTATTACCTTGTTGATATAAGCTATTTGTCTTTGAACAGGCAAACAAGAGAGAAAAATCTTTGAGGCATTTTTATATTCTGACTTAACAATTATCTGATAATTACCCTATCATTACCTGCTGATGAAGGATTCCATTCTGAATTCTTAACATTTCTGATGTTACAGGCATGTTACTTCAAAAGTCCTACCTGGAAAGAGACTGAGAAGACTAACTGGAGATTTGTTGGTATCAATAGTCAGTTTGTGGCTTGCAGTTTTTGAAGGCTGACCTGGTAGACAGATTAATTTCAGGGGAAGTCTAAATTTACATTGGATAACCCGAGGAATGCCTGAAATAAAAAGAGAGAAATGTAGATTCATAGACTTGACAGAAAATTTGACCCCCAAAAATTTGAACTATATTAATAGTTTGAGTAGCAATATATCTTATTTTAAAATTTTGCTCCGGCCCATTTCATTTAGCATAACTGAAAAAACTACAAAGTATTATCATAATACACATTTTTATATTATTGTCAAAAAGTTCAAGACAAAAAAAAGAGCGTAGGCATGATGTCTGCCTTTAATATAAGATCATACTTTAAAAAACATCACAGGTGAACACTATACAACACGGTATATTTACTCAGAGAGGGAGACAAACCGTAAGAGACTCTTAATCATAGGAAACAGACTGAGCGTTGCTGGAGGGGAGGGGGCTGGAGATGGGGTAACTGGGTGATGGACATTAAGGAGAACACGTGATGTAATGAGCACTGGGTACTACATAAGACTGATGAATCACTGAACTCTACCTCTGAAACTAATATTACACTATATATTAATTAATTGAATTTAAATTTAAAAAATTTTAAAAGAAGGCAAAAAAAAAAAAACCCAGTTAATTCAATTTTATATTCAATTACTGAACCGTCTTTAAACTAAGATCTTCAAATCTCTAGCCCCTAAAATGAGCAAATATGTATATGAAATCTGTATCAGGAAGATGCTATATGACCTTATCTAATATTTTTTCTACCACCAAAAAATGTAAATCTTTAGCTATTTTTACTTATTGAAGATTCAAATTACAATTAAAAATATACAATAAATTATAAGCATGAAGGCAGAATTTGTTCTACTGTAGTTCTACTTAAGTTCATGTCATTTTACACAGTAATATTAAGAATATTACTTTCATATGAATTAAATTTTTCTCAATCCATTTAACTTTACATATCACTGTTAAATGACATTTTGAAAGTATTACATGGTCATTCAACTGAATTTTTCAGTACATTTACAGGCATATTGAAAAACGTAATTAAATAAATAACAATGAAGAGTTTTATGTCAAAATTAAAAGTTTTTAAGATCATTCCTTTCAGGGGCGCCTGGATGGCTCACTCGTTAAGCATATGCCTTCGGCTCAGGTCATGATCCCAGGATCCTGGGATCAAGCCCCACATCTGGCTCCCTGCTCAGCGGGAAGCCTGCCTGCTTCTCCCTCTCCCACTCCCCCTGCTTGTGTTCCCTCTCTTGCTGTCTCTCTCTGTGTCAAATAAATAAAATCTTAAAAAAAAAAATCATTCCTTTCAATATTTTTACAGAGAATGAAATTGAAACCAAAGCAAATTAGGTTCTCTACTTATAAATCTAGCAAAGCCATTCTACAACTTCAGTGTTCTCTCCTTTTATTCTAGGATTCCACCTTTGATTGGATAAGATAAAAGGTAATATACTGAAACCTCTATCTTAGTATATTGCTGTAGAGAAATGAAAAACTTAAAATGTCCTACTCTACTTGATGTAGCCACACATTAATTCCTTTATCTCTTTATAGTGGAGTCAGTGAGCAGCCTAAAAATAGCAAAAGCAGAAGCAGTTAAAGCTTGGGGACATGATCCCAAAACAGGATCCCTAAAATTAGCGATATATTCTGTTAATGCCAATTGGAGTTGTAGGGCTTGCTCGACATCCAAGCTGGTAGTACACTTTCCAGCACTATTTATTCACGAGGATAGTGAGAGATCTCAACAATGGCAAGCATACTGATATATGAGGTCAATTAAATACTTTTTCAGAGCATGTGGAGCATATTTGTGATTCTCTTCAACATAATCTATTATCCATTAAATTTTACATAGCTCATTTTTTGCTGATAACCAACAGATGTTAAATTCACTTCTCCTGGAATCCTAGATGCAAATTATAACTGGTGTCTCTTCAGAAAAGTCCCAAGGCATTATTTCCTGACATTCTCTGAGGTTTTAAAGGCATGTGTATTTGTACTTTACAATGATGAAATGTTCTGTCTCAAAATATTATGGTAACATGATCTAAGCTACTGTTCAAACCACAACCATCAATATCAGCATAAAAATAATACAAAGCATTATTTTTTCCAACTTCATATATTCCATATAACCCTAAATTATGGAAATATACCTACTAATATGTTTCCTCTACAATATATAAATTACAGCCTCAATTAATAGATGTAGCCTGAAAAGAACAAAGACACTAAAACCTATTTCCATTTCCTTCATTTTTAATGAATGTAGTAATGGAAAAAAATCCTTCATCTTTTGACAATTCTGTACAGGCACGAAGAGAAGCCACCTTTCTATATACTTTCACCCAAAGTCTGAGCTAAGTGTTCAAACAAAATTTGACTATAAATGTCCTTCTAAAACTATACTGCTAAAGCTGTGGCTCTACTTCACTTGGATCAGATAGATACTACTTGAGTTGGTGGTAAAAAAAAAAATTTAATCACAATCAGTAACACTGGCCTTATGTTACTGAGTCTATATATTTGAAGATTATTACCCTAAATTTCCAAGAACCTAGAGCTAAAGAAACTGGTCATATATATGTGTTTTCAGAAATTGAAACAAATGGCTTGCAAGCACTAATGAACCCAAGAAGGGAAATACATTATAACTCAATTCACAACTCAAGTCCGTTAATGACAGTATCACACACTAGGGCAGTAGTCTGCAGTTGCTAAGATTTGTAGAAACCCTCCAGAATTGCTTTTCTCTCCAAGAACTGTAAACCTGTTTCATAGGACATTTGGAAAACATTATTTTGAAAAATGATGACACTCATACTTAATAAAATGATTATGGCTATTCTTTAAATGCTGGCAGCTTGAAAAGTTTTACCACTGGCAGGGGGCGGGAGGTAGAAAATGAAATCCTTCAGAAACCAGTTTAAGGAAACCATATCTTTAAAAAGAAAAATTGTAATGCCAGTATTTAACACTACTTTCCATTAAATTAAAACCCCAGTCTTTTAAAATACAATCTCCAGTATTTAGACATGGGGTTTATCAGAGGCACATTTCTATTGAGCTTTACACTTTCTTGAAAAACCTGAAATGAAAATTTGGCTAACAATTTACTCTTCAGGTTGTGATTGCATCTAAGAACCTGAAGCCAGAGGTATAGAAGTATGTGTGAATGCATGCATATATGTACCTATAATAAGGAAAGAATTGCATGTATTTAAAGACTTTTCAAATTTGCTCCTAGAATAGCTTTTGACTTTGATGAAAGTCTAATTGGTCCTAACTTTGCCTACCATCAGTGATATTTTCTCTATGTAGTTGGAAAAACAGTCTCTGTATCTGGCTTATTCAAATAACTCTCTGTTAGGCTGAGAAAAAAAAAATTGGTCATTTATAATACTCAAATATTGGCCTACTCGTTCATCAGAATGACTTTGTTCTGCAGTTTTTTACCAAATATAATCACCTCTCCTTCAGACACTTCCCTTTCTAGCCTAACAGAGGAAATGGATAGTCGCAACTACTCTGGTGCAATTAATCACAAAATTATTTAACACTTAGAGAGAAAATTCACATCAAATCCACTCTTGACAGAACAATTTCTCCAGGAAGAGAATTCTAATTACACCTGGCACACCCAAGAGCCCAGTATCACTGTCAAGAGAGAAGCCAAATGTGCTTTGGGGGGGGAGAAAAAAAAGGAAAAAAGAACATATATATCAGAGTAGAATAACTATATATATTACACATCTATATAATGCCTTCAGAACTCTTTCCAGGGGCCTGCTAGAGTCATTTCATTTTTAAAACAAGGAACCCCAAAGCAGTAGCAATGTCTGGGAGCCAGAACTTCCTTGATCCCTTCCTGTTATGTCTGGCTACGTACTGTGCCCCATCTGCAGTCATGTTTTACACTGCCCATGTCATGTAACTTTAATGCAGACATAATGGAGACTAACTCTTATGGGACAACATAAAACCTCCTTTGCTTCTCTTTTTCCACATGTAAAAGCAGGACTGCTTATCTGCAAAGAGCCTGAACAGATCAGGCCAATAAAATGGACCAGTCTTTGAAATTTGAAGCCTTGTGTGTAAGTTAAGATCTAAGTAGCAACATATTATTTAATCTTGCCAACTAGGTGAAGCTGAATATTGTAACCCTACTCCGTAAAGCTTAATTATAATTTAAAAATATATCATAAGAGATTATTAGGTTTGTATTGAAATACTAAAATTTCCATGTATTGTGATTTTTTTTTTCTCATGGTTTGGGCTGAATTTACAGTAAGAGGGAGTAAATTCCTTTCAATAATAACCTTTGCCAGTTTTTTAAAGTTAAAATAAATCATTTAAATAATATGGTATTTTACAAAAGTTAGTATAAAATCTTACTAGCTAGATCCAATCTTGCCAAGTAAAATGTAAATATTCATTGTTAATAATCAGTTATTTTTAATAACCCAAAATCCTAATTTGACAAGTATATTTCATGTTATTAAGCTAAACACTTACTCCTATTAAAATGTTTCTCATATAAATATATTTTCACTTCCCAGATACAATGCAACTCAAGTTGTTGGCATTACCAAAACTGTAGGAGTAAATTACTGCCATTATTTTTTAAGTATTTCTTTATTACTAATTAATATTTCTATCTAATATTTATCTTAAAATATCTAATAAACTGAGATAAACCACCACAGTAAGTCTGTGTCTAGAAAGAAAAATAGTCAAAGTAGGATATACTCTAAGTGCCTGTCATCTACCCTGACATCGCGCAATTCAAAGATGAGTACTTAAACCCTGCTCTGGAGGAGCCCAAAATCTACTAGGGAAACCTAAGGAACAAACTTAATGAAATTCATATTATGATTGGTATTGCAGCAGAGTCATACATAAAGGATTTGGGGAAAACAAAACAGGTAACAATCAACATTGGCCCAGGTAAGTTCAAGGGGTCAGAACCTTGATGACATCGCCCCACAAATTCTAAACAAGGTAAGAAATAGGCCCACACTGGGTGCCTGGGTGGCTCAGTTGGTTAAGCGACTGCCTTCGGCTCAGGTCATGATCCTGGAGTCCCTGGATCGAGTCCTGCATCAGGCTTCCTGCTCGGCGGGGAGTCTGCTTCTTCCTCTGACCCTCTTCCCTCTCGTGCTCTCTGTCTCTCATTCTCTCTCAGATAAATAAATAAAAATCTTAAAAAAAAAAAAAAAGAAAGAAAACAGCCTCTTTTTATACCCTCTCTTGTAGAATGCAATGGCTAGGAAAAAGAAAATTCAAAATGAGTTATATGAGGGCGCCTGGGTGGCTCAGTTGGTTAAGCGACTGCCTTCAGTTCAGGTCATGATCCTGGAGTCCCTGGATCGAGTCCCGCATCGGGCTCCCTGCTCAGTGGGGGGTCTGCTTCTCCCTCTGACCCTCCCCTCTCTCATGTGCTCTTTCTCATTCTCTCTCTCTCAAATAAATAAATAAAATCTTTAAAAAAAAAAAAAAAAGAAATAGGCCCACAGAATAAGTACTCATAGTGCTCTGATTAGAGAGAGCAGCGGATCTATTCGGACACATAGAAAACAGACAATTTGTATGTCTCAAAAGACATGTGCATCAGTACAGGTCGTATATAATGTCAGTTTGTGCTGATACTAAGGACGCTAACACTGATCACTTGGTTATGGTGGTATTACCAAACCACTCCTGTAGAGATACTGTTTTCTCCTTGTAATTAAAAAGTAATCTCTGAGGTAATGTTTTGAGACTGAATATTCTATTATTCCAATGAATTTAGTGTCCATTGATGAATCTTTCCTGAACTAATTATTACAAAGATTTAGAGAATGATTCTCTAATTCTATCACCCATTCTACACTTATTAGCTGACCTCCTTTTGCAGAGTTTTCCCTCTATACGTGCCTTTATTTTATCACTGTACTCACAGATTCTATCTCTGTCTTCAACATATTATAATAAATTATCATTATTATGATTTTGATGCTCAAAATGTCCCATATCTAGCCAGTGGAAACTCCTCCACCGGTTTCTGAATCATTGTGAGGTACTGTGATCATTTCTCTTGACCACTTCTTTGCTCTCTGACCCAACAATATAGAACAGGCTCTCTTATTTTCCCTTCTCCAGACCTGGCAACAGCCTTTTCTCTAAGAACCCTGATCCCTTTGACTAGAGATGGTACTCAGATGTGAAGATCTCTGCAACAGAGGTGTTCACTGCTACTGAGCTGAAGCCTGAATAGGTATCTGCCCCATCTCCATCACCTCTACTCTACTCCACCGCAATAACCTCCAGCTGCACTTCTGACAGGCAATTTGGCTTCAAAAGCAGTTCTCCACATTGAGTCAGAGTGATCTTTCCAAAATACAAATCTGTTCCTGTCCTTTCTGGGGCAAAAGCATGTGTGTGCATGTTCACATCCATGCACTTCATGACATACTTAAAACCATTTAGTGGCTGCTCTTTGGTCACAGAATAAACATCAAAACCACTAGCATGATCAAAAAGACCCCACAGGGCCTATCCTTTCTATACCCTAGTGACATTTTGACCACTTTACCCCAGCCCTCAATCAATTAAAAAAAAAAAATAGAGGGCGCCTGGGTGGCTCAGTTGGTTAAGCAACTGCCTTCAGCTCAGGTCATGATCCTGGAGTCCCGGGATCGAGTCCCGCATCGGGCTCCTTGCTCGGCGGGGAGTCTGCTTCTCCCTCTGACCCTCCCTACCTCATGCTCTCTCTCATTCTCTCTCAAATAAATAAATAAAATCTTAAAAAAAATAAAATTAAAAAAATAGAAAGAAAAAGAAAACAGACAATGAGAATTCAGTGACGAACACCATTTTTCCTTATTCTGTCTTTATTTTAAGTAAAATAAGATAGCAGAGCATATGAGTAAATCACCAATAACTTACAGATATAAGTGGTCAATGACACTTTTGATTTTTTTTTTTTTAAAAAGTCATGGAGCTTCATTCTTTTTCATGACTCTGAAACAACTAATAATGAATGAAAAGTCTCTGTGCGAGGAAACATTTATGATCCTCTCCATGAAGGCACTGAATCATCCTAAAGAAGTTCCTATAGTTAAAATAGCAGTCTATAAAAATAGTTCATTCATGGTATAATACCAGTTCAATTCACTGACCAAATTTCAATTCTGAAATTCATTTTGTTCTAAATTATCTTTTCACTTACCATCAGGATTTCGATCTATCCATCAGAGGCAATGCAAAAAAAGGATAGGGGAGAAAGAATGCAACAAATTATTTGTGGTAAAATTACAACACAAATTTAATACACATCTGCTTAAAAATATAAATTAAAGAGGGCACGTATTGAATGGAGCACTGGGTATTATATGCAAACAATGAATCATGGATCACTACATCAAAAACTCGTAACGATGTAATGTATGGTGATTAACATAACATAATAAAATAAAATTTAAAAATATATATATAAATTAAAATTTTTTAGATTCTCTCAGATGATTTAAATGGCCCCCAATAAAAATAAGTCAATTCACAACTGAAGAATATAACATGAATAAGTGAAATCTAACAATATATTTGTACATTCATTCTCAGAAGTCAATGACAGTGTGTTAATCCAGTGTAAATGTGGCAAAAAAAAAAGACATAAGGTATATGATCTAGACCAAGAGCAAACCAGACTCAATATGTAAATGACATCAAGAGGATTAAATGAATTGTTGGGAAAAAAATTTGAGGGAAATGCCAAATACACAATATTTCCAGTTACTCTCGCTTATATTATAATGTCTTTTTGTTTTGGCTTGTCTTGGTATTCCTTTATTTTTATAGACATTTTTTTACATTTTAATTTCTAATTAACTTTCAACTAATTAATGCTATGCTCTTTGGTTTAGCAATAATTTATAATCTTTTAAATTCTGTCTATAGGAAAGCATAATAGTTAAAAATGGTATGTATAACCATAAGATCCCAGACTGATTTTACAACTTTATAACATATTTTTAAAGTATTTTGTCCACTTGCTATGTAACCCATTTCTCTATTTTAAATTCATATTCAACCAGTGTCACCCCTTTCCCTGAAAACAAATGAAATACTTAGTTGAATTAAGGCATCAACAGTGTAACAAGGATAAAAAGTGTAAAAGTGCCTATGATTATTGAGACGTTCAATTAATGATAAATGATCTAGAGCTTTTAGCCAAATATTTCTTTCCTTTTTATTTCACAACTCAAAATTAAAATAACATTAAAACTTTCAATGTTCTTTTCAGAAATATCCAACTAAAGAAATCTATCTCTCTTTGATGCCTTATGGAAGTTTTGTATTTCTTTCTGAAGCCAGCTTCCTCAAAGTCATTTAAACATAAAATATTTACATAACTTCAAATTTTGAAAATATAGATAAATGATTAAAATGGTCAATTCTGGTTAATAATGAATTTTTTTAACAACTTAAAGCAAAATAACTTACAAAGCAGAAGAAGTAGATTTTGAAAATATGTATTAAAGTTATAAAATTATCTTAGAGTATAGGGTTGTCAATGCTTAAGCCAGAAAATTCACTTAGACAAAATTAAAACTATAATTATTAAAAAACATTGCTAAATATACAAAGTGGACATCAACAGAAAAGAAAAAGATAATCAAGGCATCTCTAAAACTTTTAGAACTAAAAAATCTGTACAGAAATGTTTAAAAAACACAAATGCAACATTGCTAAAATATCCTATTGTCAGTTACACTATGTTAAAACATTGAAAAAAAAAGCAATGACTAATTATTCATATTCTACCAATAAACAGATTGTCAAACAGTTAATATGAAAAATTCACTGCACGGGGAAAAAAACAAACTATAAAATTTGACCAAACGAAGTTGAAATTTACCACTAACTGAATCTCAACTGGACTGAAGATAACTTTTTTAATTTAAAAAGAGTTCCATGAAAAAGCACAGATCAAATTTTAGTAAATCTGTTCTTAAATATTTTAACACGTATGATACTAAAGAGTTTTATTTAGTCATTAAAACAGTGTCTGAAACTCTGAATACTGCTTTATATTAGAGCATTTCATAATAGTCTTTTTCACTAATTCACACAAGGCTTTTCTTCTTTTTTTTTTTTAAAGATTTTATTTATTTATTTGACAGAGACACAGCGAGAGAGGGAACACAAGCAGGGGGAGTGGGAGAGGGAGAAGCAGGCTTCCCGCCGAGCAGAGAGCCTGATGCGGGGCTCGATCCCAGGACCCCGGGATCATGACCTGAGCTGAAGCAGACGCTTAACGTCTGAGCCACCCAGGCGCCCCAGGCTTTTCTTCTTTGTTCAGATAAGTGAAGTCTAATACCATTCTTTGAGTGTGAATAAAAATATATCATATTTGCTATTAATTGAGAAGACAGAATCAAACATTATATGTGGAAATCAGCTAAATAGACTTATCTCTAATAATTCATAACACATAACAGTAATTTGGACATATAATTTTATTTAACACTAGGAAAGAATTATTTTTCCATTTAGTAATATTTTACAATGTGTTTTTCAGTCTTAAACACTTAAATATTTAACTCATAACCCCAATATTTTAAAAGGAGTAATTAGGCTTATAAATCTGTGAACAATTGTGTGCTTACCTGATGGTCTGGAATAAGAAACAACAGCATTTCCTTCCAATTGAGGTGGTGTATAACTCCCTTTCAGATAAACAGAAAAGGATACTGTTCTACTCATCTCTGGTGCTATAAGCAATGTAAAAGTAATATTAAGTTACAAAATCTTGGACAATTATTATTAACAACAGTTAAAATTATGCATACACTACATGCCAGCTAGTATCCTAAGCACTTTACATGGATTAATTTATTTAATCCTCACAATAACCCAGTAAGGTGTGTACTATTATTGTCCCCAACTTTTGTGCATGAGGAAACTGGCTACAGAGAGATTAAGAAGCTTGCCCAAGGTCATACAGCTAATAAAGAACTGGAAACTGACTTCAGAACAAGGGTGCCCATATTCTACATCACTGCTTCTCTTTAGTCAGATGAATAGGCAGCATGATCAGAGAAATATGTACAGAAAAAGGCAAGAGAATCTGGGAACAGGGATTAGTACAGTTTATCATGGCGAGAATACAGACTGCAGGAGAAAATGGGAGGGGGGACTGCATAAGGATGTAACTATAACTGTAACGACTTTGCAGATTGTACATAGACTTCTACATTCATGTATTTGACCTCCAACCTGTGTTAGGCAGTCTTAAGAGGTTTTTAACTGGAAAAATAAATTGTTCAGAAGGTGTTTTAGAAAGACAAATTGGTTTCCTGAGATTAAGAATTCCTCATATCAGTGAGATCATATCATACATGTCTTTCTCTGACTGACTTATTTCACTTAGCATAATACCCTGGAGTGGTGGGGAGTAGGAGGGATGGGGTGGCTGGGTGATAGACATCGGGGAGGGAATGTACTATGGTGAGTGCTGTGAATGGTGTAAGACTGTTCAATCACAGACCTGCACCTCTGAAACAAATAATACATTATATGTTAAAAAAAAAAAAAAAAGGTAGTAGGAGGGGAAAAATGAAGGGGCGGAAATCGGAGGGGAGACCAACCATGAGAGACTATGGACTCTGAGAAACAAACTGAGGGTTCTAGAGGGGAGGAGGGTGGGGGGATGGGTTAGCCTGGTGATGGGTATTAAAGAGGCACGTTCTGCATGGAGCACTGGGTGTTGTGTGCAAACAGTGAATCACGGAACACTACATCAAAAACTAATGATGTAATGTATGGTGATTAACATAATAAAATAAAATAAAAAAATATATAAAAATAATAATTAAAAAAAAAAGACAAATTGGAAGTACCATGAAAAAAAATTAGAAAATAAAGTGAGAATCCAATGATTGGGCATCACTACAAAGTTACTTCAACCATTCAACCATTCATTCAATGTTTCAATTAATATTTTATTGAATTCCTCCTATCTGCCAGGCGCACTCAAGTAAGGGTTGATAATACAAAGGCGAAAGAGAGAAATAGGTTCTTGATGTCATGAATAAGATACAGAATGACCAGCTGAACAGCAGCAGTAAACAAAGAAAGAAAAAGGCTAGAAAGATAAAGCCGAAATCATTTTGATGGGACTAATGACAACTGGGATGCAAATGATAGGACATGAGAGATTCTGTGCAAAGAAATCTTACCAAGAGTGGCCATTTATGACCTGTCTACTATTTTAGGCATTATTACAGGTATCTTCCATAGCTTCATTTTCTAATTAAATCTGCAAAACAGCCCTGCAAGACAGATATCACTATCCCCTTTCTGCAGATTAAAAGAAATTGAGGTTCCAAGTAATTACTAAAGTAGCTTGCTGAAGGTTACACATCGAGTAAGTGTCAGAGCCAGAATTCAAATTCAGGCCAGACTCCAAAACCAATATTCTTTCTTCACACATAACTGATTCAATAAACAGCTCACTAGAGAAACACCAATAAAGAAAGCCTTCCAAATTATAGTATTTAACTACAATTACAGGCCCATCTAGTTAAGGAAAGCACTTGAAAATCTATAATTACTTCAGCTCAATGACCATTCACTGAATATTGCTATTTTTTAAAAAAAGTATCATTCATGCTTGATGTTTAGAGGGGAAATATAAGCAAAACAACACAATCATTGATTTTAGAAAGATACCAGCCTCACTATTCAGACAAGAAATACAGCCATGAAGTAAACATACTAACCAAAAAAAAATTTCTTTTAATTAAAAGAAAACCTCACACCATGATAGACTTTAAGCCAAAACAGAACACCTACCCATAAATTCAAAGGTGAACTGATCACAGGTCAATACTAAAGGTGGTTGCACATAGACTGATAATTTGGCTTTTTGCAGCGCCAGTCGATTCTGCAATGTGACCTAAGGAAACAGAAATTGTTATTAATAGAAAATTACATTTTATCCAAATTGATAGGATAGCAAAAGTATGTAAAAAATCATTAGCAAATAATTAGGAAACATTATCTGAGAAAAAATGAGTAGTGGCAAAACATAACATGTAACATAAATAGTAGATTAACTGGTAAGTAGGTAAGTGGTACTTTCTACCGTTAGAAACTGGACAAAGGAGTTAAACAGACTTTCCTCCAAAGGAGATATAGAAATGGCCAAACAAGCACATGAAAACATGCTCAATATCTTTAATCACTATGAAATAGAAGTTAAAACCACAATGAGATACTACTACACATCTAAAATGCTATAATCAAAAGAACAGACACAAAATAGGTGTTAGCAAGAATGTGAGGAAAAACACCTCATACATTGCTGATGGGAATGTAAAATGGTATAGCCATGCAAGAAAATAGTTTCTTAAAAAATTAAACATAAATTTACCATATGACCTCACAATTCCATGCCAAGAGAAATGAAAACATACGTCCCCCCAAAATCTTGTACACAGATTTCATAGCAGCATTCTTCACAATAGCCAAAAGTAAAAACAACCCAAATGTCCATCAACTGATGAACAGATAAGCAAAATATGGTATATCCTTACAATGAAATAGTATTCAGCGTATTCAGTAATCAAAAGAAATGAAGTACTGGCACGTGCTACAACATGGGTAAACCTTAAAAACATTGTGCTAAGGGGTAGAAGCCAGTCACAAAGAACCACATATTGTATGATTCCATTTATATGAAATGTCCAGAATAGGCAAATCTATAGAGACAGAAAATAGAAGTTGCTGAGGGATGGGAACGGGGGAGGGGTGGATGATGGAAGAGGAAAGGGAGCATGTGGTTACTTTAAAGGGGGACAAAAATGTTCTAAAATTAAATTCTGGTTATGGTTCCACAACTCTGCAAATATAGTAAAAATCACTGAACTGAACTCTTTATATGAGTAAATTGTATGGTATATGAATTATATCTCAATAAAGATATAAAAAATGTTCTATCAAAAGCAAAGGACATTGCTGCTATAAACACTGGGGTGCACATGCCCCTTCGGATCACTACATTTGTATCTTTGGGGTAAATACCCAGTAGTGCAATTGCTGAGTCATAGGGTAGCTCTATTTTCCACTTTTTGAGGAACCTCCATATAGTTTTCCAGAGTGGCTGCACCAGCTTGCATTCCCACCAACAGTGTAGGAGGGTTTCCCTTTCTCCGCATCCTCACCAACATCTGTCATTTCCTGACTTGTTAATTTTAGCCATTCTGACTGCTGTGAGGTGGTATCTCATTGAGGTTTTGATTTGGATTTCCCTGATGCCGAGCGATGTTGAGCACTTTTTCATGTGTCTGTGGGCCATTTGGATGTCTTCTTTGGAAAAATGTCTGTTCATGTCTTCTGCCCATTTCTTGATTGGATTATTTGTTCTTTGGGTGTTGAGTCTGATATGCTTTTAGCAGCAATGTCCACAATAGTCAAACTATGGAAAAGAGCCAAGAGGTCCATCAACAGATGAATGGATAAAGAAGCGGTGTATACACACACACACACACACACACACACACACACACAATGGAATATTATGCAGCCATCAAAAAATGAAATCTTGCCGTTTGCAACAACGTGGACAGAACTAGAGGGTATTATGCTAAGCGAAATAAGTCAATCAGAGAAAGGCAATTATCATATGATCTCACTGATATGTGGAATTTGAGAAACAAGACAGAGGATCATAGGGGAAGGGAGGGAAAAATGAAACAGGACGAAACCAGAGAGGGAGACAAACCATAAGAGACTCTTAATCTCAGGAAACAAACTGAGGGTTGCTGGAGGGGAGGGAGGTGGGAGGGATGGGGTGGCTGGGTGATGGACATTGGAAAGGATACGTGCTATGGTGAGCACTGTGAATTGTTTAAGACTGATGAATCACAGACCTGTACCTCTGAAACAAATAATACTTTATATGTTAATTTAAAAATTTTTTAAAGAGGGGCACCTGGGTGGCTCAGTTGGTTAAGCGGCTGCCTTCGGCTCGGGTCATGATCCCAGGGTCCTGGTATCAAGCTCTGCATTGGGCTCCCTGCTCAGCGGGAAGCCTGCTTCTCCCTCTCCCTCTGCCTGCCTCTCTGCCTACTTGTACTCTCTCTCTATCTCTCTGTCAAATAAATAAATAAAATCTTCTTAAAAAAATTTTTTTAAATAAATAAACACATTAAAAAAAAAACAAAGGAAAAATCTGCCCTGCACTTGGTGAATAATTACATCATGAAATATGTATTCATTTTCTTTTCATGTATAGATGTGGCAACGGGATTATCTTATCTAGTATCTGCATACCACCTTTTGCATAAATTAATTATTCTCTAAAGATTTCCTTACTGGGTGATATTTACTAGCCTAGATACATATCAAAGCACCACATTTTATTCCATGGCTTAACACAAAAACACATGACAGATCTAATTCTAGAAAATATCAAAGAGTGGCAATATTGACTGCCGCGTATCTCAGCTGGTTGCATTTCTAAACTGGTGCTCTTATATGGTGACGCTAAGAAAACCCTCCCATATTAGAATCAAAAGCTAAGAACTCTAGGTTAACAGTGTGACTGGGAAGTAGGACAGGTATGGGTAAAGAAGGCCAGGACTTCTCTCACTCCCCCTAAGGAGGAACATCAGCAGAAACCATCAGGCCTGTGGATTTTTACTGGGTCACAGTGCTAAGGGGCATCATTTTTCAGGCTATCAAAGAAAAAGCTTAAAGATCTTACTTTCATTGCGCATGTTCTCTCTTTGGACTTTTGTGTCCTAAAAGTCCCAACCTTTGAACAGTCTCATTTGGATGAGTTCATCCACGTGGTTGGTATGGTAAGCCAGACTCAACCACAGTCAACTGCCCAGGTAGGGTTGGTATACCAACTGAATCACAATCTCTCAGGGTAGTTCTGGGTATTGTTTTTTTTTTTTCCTAGCTCCCCAGATACCTATGTACTACCAGAGTTAAGAAGCACTCTTCTATATGGCACCTTTGCTGTAGAGCAACTTACAGTCTAGTTATTAGATTCTAGTATATGACACAGATACATGTCATTACTAACTCACATAGGGCAAGGGTACACCTATTTTTAAGAAAAGTAGTTTTCCAAACTGAGGGTTGCTGGAGTGGGGGGTGGGGTGGGAGGGATGGGGTGACTGGGTGATAGACACTGGGGAGGGTATGTGCTCTGGTAAGCGCTGCAAATCGTGCAAGACTGTTGAATCTCAGATCTGTACCTCTGAAACAAGTAATGCAATATATGTTAAGAAAAAAAAAAAAAAGGAAGAAGAAGGTAGCAGGAGGGGAAGAATGAAGGGGGGGAAATCGGAGGGGTAGACGAACCATGAGAGACAATGGACTCTGAAAAACAAACTGAGGGTTCTAGAGGGGAGGGGGGTGGGAGGATGGGTTAGCCTGGTGATGGGTATTGAGGAGGGCATATTCTGCATGGAGCACTGGGTGTTATGCACAAACAATGAATCATGGAACACTACATCTAAAACTAATGATGTAATGTATGGGGATTAACATAAGAATAAAAAAAAAAAGAAAAAAAAGTAGTTTTCAAATTTCTCTTAAGGAAAAGGCATGTATCACCTATTCCTTAATATATATTTTACATATATATTCATATATATATAATATATACATACACACACATACTATAGAGAAAGAAACAATATACAGGAATACGCAACTGGCCCAGAAACATTATATACATATAATTAGATTCAGGAAGTATCTTGCATTCATTTTAAATGATGTGGGTAGTCTATACAACTTAAAAAATAAGTTAAACACAAAAATTTTGACTTGCAAAATAAAATTTGAAAGGATAACTATTGATGCAAATAAATACAATAAACACAGCAAATGAACAATGAATCCTCAATTTTTACTTTATAAGCCCTGGGAATACATGAGGGGAATCTGCATACCACAAGCAAAGCTTCCTTCATGATGTCTGATCATTATAAGCAAAAAATTTTTAGTAAAATCTTGATGGTAATTATGGTAAGAAATTATGCCAGGCCCACTGAATAAACAGGATACAACTTAAATATTTTACTATAAATAATAATATAATGCTAGTCTATACATATATTTTTAAATAAAATTAATAATATTAATGATAACCATTAACGGCATTTTATATTCATGGAACCATGCGAATAAATTATTTGTGTGCATTATCTCATTTAATCTTCACAACATCATGAAACAGGGACTATCACTATACATCATTTTATAGAAGAGAAAACTGTGGTTCAGAGAAGCTAAATAATTTGCCCAAGGCCACTCTGATTATAAGTGAAAGAACCACAATTTAACTTCTGTCTGCCAGAACCCAGAGTCCATTCTCTTAATAAACTGTGTTAAGTCTCAAAACAACCCTGCAATTAAAAAGTATCCTCATTTTACAGTTTAAAAAAAGAGGTTCAGAGAAGTTAAATAACATGTCCAAGACCAATAAGCCAATATGTGCAAGAGAACTGAAAACTATCACCATGAATATATCATAAGAGCTTAGTTTTAAAAGTGAAAATGAAAAATCTTTAAAGTAGTAATAAGCTACTTATAAGAGAACATACATTCTGGACCGCCTGGGTGACTCAGTTGGTGAAGCATCTGCCTGTGGCTCAGGTTATGATCCCAGGGTCCTGGGATGGAGCCCCGTATGGAGCCCAGCATTGAGCCCCCCTGATTCTCCCTCTCCCTCTACCCCTCCCCCTCCCGCTCATGCTCTCTCTTTCTCAAATAAAATCTTAAAAAAAAAAAAAGAACAGACATTCTGACTCCACCTGGCATAACAATGTGTACTTAGACAACGATCACACAATTTTACACTGTGTAAAATCATGATAGCTCTCATGCACAGATTTATTAAACCCCAACAATGGCCTAGGCATTTTCAAATGTGAACCAAGGAGATGTGTGATGAAAATAACTAGAGGAAAACAAAGAAGACTTGTGTTTGAGCCAAAAAAAAAAAAAAAAAAAAAGAGTTAAAGACTTGGCTAGATCATAAACCTCATATTTTAAGAGAAAAATAAGTACAGAATATTAAGGGGAAAACATAAAACATTAATATAAGAATTTTCCATGCTGTTTTCTGGTTCTAACAAAATGAAATATGATCCTTAGGAAATATAATACCAAATTTTTATCCTAGATATATAAATATGACTCCAAAGGCCAGGTATGAACAACCACTCTGCCTTAGTTGCCTGGAATAGATGGTCACGCATCATGCACACATACTCATGGTAGCCACATCTTCATTCACTTGGAACGGATGGAAAAATTTTCTCAATTAACAGGATTTATTATAATGGAAACTTGCATGGTTATATATCTTGGCTGCTGTTGTTATAAAAGGCTATAAGAAGAGATTTATAGCAAAATTTGTATAGAAACCGTCCGACAGAATCAGGAAGTCATTGTGTCTGCTGTACAAGTCCAGCTGATTTTATGCAACCCTTGTGTGTTGCATTCTTTCTCATGCTCTTAATAATGGCAGTAAGGAAGAGAGCTGAGACTTAGTCATTCTCAAATATAAAAATTCCATTAATGAGGGAGAATTTTCCAGTAGTGTCATGCCATCATTTTAAGATGGCTATTATTACACATGAAAGCCTAAGAACTGCATAGGTGAGAAAGGTGTATTTACTTATAGCAATAACGAGCAGTTGGTGGGGGGTGGGAATTAGCATGAGCAATGTTACTTGGTTTAAGTACAGGATTTCTTTTTGCAATTTATAGTGTGCTCCTGAATTATTATGTGTGTGTGGCTGAACAGTATCGGTAGATAGATAAAAAAGAGGTTTCTCTACACAAAAGTCTATAGATCATTCCTGGAACTCTGCAGTGGTTTTTTGTTTTTTCGTTTTTTCTTAAGTGTTTGATTTCTTGCCACTACTGCTTTTCCAGACTCAGAGGTATTAATGAGATAGAGCCTTTGATTGGATGGGGGGAGGGAGAACTGGGAAAGACCACCCTTGTTTCCAGTGGCAAGAATCCAAAAAAATTAGCTTAGGAAACTGTTACAAGATTGGGCTCCCTTCAACTTCTACCAAAGATCCCCACACTTGGGCCACCCGCTGGGTCCAGTGTAAGCGAACACAATTGGTAAAGCCTGGTGCCCTGTCAAGCTCCTCCAAGGACAGCAACCCATAATCTAAGAAAATATAAAGTCCTGTCCAAGTTTTAACTAAGCAAATCGCCAAGGTCCACAACTTTTCCTGGCTCCAAGGTCTGGGCAGTGATAAATATTTTCAGCTTAATAACGTGCTGACTGCTTACCGCACTTTAATCTAAATGCCTTAAGAGGGTTCTACATTTGAGTTCTAGTTCTAAAATTCTAAATGACAGGACTAAAAATTTTAACCAAAACCACATCCTTCATATTCTATTTTTTTAGGACTATCAATTTGTCATTACTCTACTTTGTGGCTTCTTCATTTAATATTTTCTTGCTATAAATACATCCATTTAAAGTTAACGTTATGGCAGGTAGATGAGCAGAAATTCTTCTCAAATATACACATAATTATAGATAGAAGAAAGATATTAGCATTCATATAATTCCCCTATATATATGATGCTGCAATCAACTGGTTAGTCTATCATAAATGGTGATGACACAATTCCTCCAACATATTTAAAATGTTAATTTTGTTTCTAGAAAAAAGACCCTAGATCATTTAAACGTAATGGTTAAGCATAACCCATAAAAATTATTTATATTACATAACATTGCTACAAATGCAATTATCAGTTTTATATTTGTAGGAAACAATAAAGGTTATCCTTGCTACCCAAGGCTGAGGGAAATGCATAAATTTCAAGTGCTTGTTTTACATTTCCATAAGCCAGTCGTAGGATGACAACAGTGGCAGATGTGATGAAATGTGTAATACTGTTTGCACAATACAGTCTAGAACCATGGTACAATACCTTAACTGTGACTGAAGGGACAAGGTCAGTTCCCACTTCAACATCAGTAGCTTGCTGTAAAAACAGAATTGAGAAGAGAAGGAAGGAAAGAATGGTTGCAAATTACATGTCTATCCATGAGTAAACACAATGGGTGCAATATATACTTCCCACCACCAAAATAGGGAACTAACCATAAAGGACTTATCAATCTAATGACAGACTAAAAGGGTCAATGTGGCTTTTTGAATACCTTCAGCTGGAAAGTCATAGCTAATAAAAACCTTTTCCAAAATGGAAAAAAAAAGGGCACATATTTTATTATTAAAATACTCTCTTGACAAATTTACTTAAATGTTGAAACTAATAGAATTTAAATAAAAAAATTTGGGGGCGCCTGGATGGCTCAGATGGTTAAGCGTCTGCCTTCAGCTCAGGTCATGATCCCAGGGTCCTGGGATTGAGTCCCGCATCGGGCTCCCTGCTCCTTGGGAGCCTGCTTCTCCCTCTGCCTCTCTCTCTCTCTCTGTCTGTCTCTCATGAATAAATAAATAAAATCTTAAAAAATAAATAAATAAATTTTTTAAAAATATTGAAACCAATTAATTCTATTAACTAGTTCTTTATATTATATTGAAGAAAGCCTCCTTGTACTTCTCAGATAAGCATTATGCTATCCTTTAAGGTCCTTATATTTTCAACTTGCCAAAGGTATTCTGATTAATAATATGTATCTAAGACATGTAACTAATGATACAAAGCTTGAGTGGCCTTACACCTAGAAAATAAAAGTAGAAGTGTATTTTTTTACTAGCTCATATCATAAACTAGGTCACTCTTTGAACATCAGCCTGGGTTACTTGATCCTACCCCTTAAAGAATTCAGAGCATAATATAATACAGCAAACATTTCCTTATAAGTTATAATTTACTTATTAGAGTGATGGACTGAGAGGAAAAAATGCTCACTCTATGACAGAATAAGACCAAGGGGTAACATAATCTTCCATAATACCCATTATTAGGGAACAATTAAGATCATAAAATCACTAATCCAACCAATGAATAGATCCATTGTGCTTTTAGTTAACTTATTTGAATTTTTTTTTTACTAAGAAAAACTAAGCCACTTCTAAGCAACAGGGATGGCTATAATATACTGGGTACCAGCATAAGTAAGAGTTGGGAGATTCATATTCTATTATATACGACTCCACAGAAAACGATATATGAACTCTGATCCACCTCAATCCAGAAGATAGGACAGCAATGCTTGTCTCATCTATAAAAGACCTCACTCTAATATAAATTATATTATTTTTTAGATGTGTGCTTTCATAATAATGACAAAATAAAATGCTAAACCAGGCTTTTCGCTCTAGCAGAACCTAAAATCCAGGAAATGTTTTACATTTACCTGTCCACAGATCTATAAGAGAAACCAACATCTCCTGTTTCCTGCTCTTTTCAATCCATGTTTAAACACCTAGGTACTTCAAGGACAGCAGTCCTTTGGGAAGATAAAATTATAGCCAGAGAGAAATAGCTACACAAAGACACCATGGCACCATAGCCATATAAATCGTTGGGTTGGTGTGTTCTAATGGGATGAATATGATACTCTCAGGAATATCTTAAGAAGGAAAAAATAGTAAGACTGGGAAAATGAAGCTGGAAAGAGACACCTAGTTAAGAGGAAACAGCACTCTGAGTTCCCAATAGGGAAATATACATTACAATATAGTGCTATTACACAAGGCCTTTTCCTACAAAGATCAAAAGTTGCTAAAGAACAGAAAGGGAATTCCTCCTTCCAAACAGCTTATGTTTAAGAGAACCTAGAAAAAATTATATAAGTTGCCCAAAGGAAAATAAGAATCATTTCCAAGGCAAGAAAATGTGTGTACATTTGTCAGCTAACTAAGCAAAAATGTTCCACTCAGACTACACCCTTCAGGTAGAGTGAGAAATGGTGTGTGCTGAATGGCCAATGTTTTAAACAGTGCCTCTACTATGTGACTCAGCTGAGTGAATGTTTCTTTCATATATAGTACTTTTTTTTAAGTATGCCCAACTTACTATATTATGGCAAAGTTAACGTGATTTTTATCACAGCTTGGGTTGGCTCTTTATACCAAGATTAATCTTTGAAAACTTAGGACAAGTACTTACTATATTATGCTCTGATACCTAAATATCGAAGTCATTTCCCAGGTAAAATTACATGACATGAACTCCAAATATAGTAAAAACCAGTGAATTTGATCACTTGCCAAAACTGATCAACTTCTGATTCAGACACAGATAAGCTTAATAGATTTTTGCCCAAACTGCAGGCAGTGAGACATAACCAATTATAATGTAACAAGTGCTTACAGAAAACTAAACAAGGAGATGGGGCAACATGACCAAGGACAGTCCCTCTTTCATCCTTCCTGTTTCTCATCTCCATTCATTTATGAAGCAAAAATACTGAGCACTCATTATGTGATAGACACTAAAGATATGGCAGTGGACGAGACAAGCAGTGGAATGCAGGGTATGGTGGTGGTGGTGGTGGTGGTGGTGGTGATGATAATGCTAAAAGAACTAAAATGTAATTTGATGATGATGATGCTGATATTGTTATCATAACAATGCAACAAAGTAGATTCTTATTCCCATTTTACAGATGAGAAAAATTGAGACTAAGAAAATAAAATACCCTGCCCTGGGTCACACAGATACAAACGGCAGGAAAAAATAATTCCTGGCCCAACTGCCCAACTGTTTATTGTTAAATAACACACACAGACACCACCCTCCCCACCCCCATCTCCCTCTACCCCACAACACTATCTCAGTGAACCTTCAACAAAAATCTTGTAGGGTATTATTCACCTGGATTATGATTACCTCAATATTCTGGTACTGAAAAAGTTTTTTTTTTTTTAAGTAGATTCAGAATAATGGGGAAAACCTCTTCTACTATTGCCCCATCCGCTCCTTTTTTTAGACCAAAATCCTACCTAAGGAACTAATAAGAGATTGGAAATGTTTTTTCTAGAAAGTAATAAAGACTAAAAGTTGTTATCCTCCCTAAAGTTTCTATCTGGGGACTAAAAATTTAAACCAATACATATTGATCCCAAATCAGCAGAGTCCAGCACTATCCTGAACCCTTTTAAAGTCTGCGAATATACCTACAGACACTGAATCGAAGTTAGGAGAAACCATGGCAGAAACTTTCAAATCATCTTCTCTCTCTGTCATGGGCCAAATACCTGTAATTTAAAAAGAAAAACAATATTTAATCATAAGGTAAACCTGCTGCATACAGTTTTTTAAAAAAGGTTTTTCTATATCATATATCAAAAAACAACCCCATAAACATACTCACAACTTGAAAAAAACTAATGCATTACAGAATTAGAAATCTGATAATTCTTCCCCCACTACAAAATTTTAAAGAAAAACTGTCTTTCTCCAAAGATACTATCTAAGATGTGTCCCAGTGACTGAAGAGTGTTGGGAACTTCAATGCTCTCTCCTTAACACTATAGGTAGAAGCCCAAACTATAACTTTTTGAAGGTAAGTTGGTCAGAACTATCAAAATGTAAAATATACATATCCTATGATTTAACAATTCTACTCCTTAGCATTTATCCAATACTCACAGACACACCAAAGAAGCTTCTCTGCTGCTGGTAGTTATTAAAAACAAAAACAAAAACAACCTAAATCTCTGTATTTCTATTAATAGGGAAATGCTTGACTAGATTATGGTATATCCACACTGTGCAATGATCCAAAGCCCAAAGCTGTAAATAAGAGTGCTATCCAACTTTATACACTATTATGAAAAGAACTCCAGGATGTGCCTATTAATAAAAGCAAAAAAAAGCAAGACATTGTACAATGCATCTAATATGCACATTTGTGTAAAAAGAAATAAACACGAATTTTTTTTAAAGAATACACACTTTTTTTTTTTTAAGATTTTATTTATTTGTTAGAGAGAGAGAGACAGCGAGAGCAGAAACATAAGCAGGGGGAGTGGGAGAGGGAGAATCAGGCTTCCCACTGAGTGGGGAGCCCGATGCGGCACTCGATCCCAGGACCCTGGGACTATGGCCTGAGCCGAAGGCAGACGCTTAACGACTGAGCCACCCAGGCGCCCCCACAAACACTCTCGATAAAGGTTACCTTTAAATAATCTAGAGGAACTAGGATCTGGGGGTTTTACCCTTTTAGTACTCTTAGAATTATTTTCATCATATTCATGTTATTTTCACAACTTAAAATTTCACGATTTAAAAATGTTTATAGTGCATAATGAGGTATGAACAAGTGACACAGATCCTAAATAAACGAGAAACCTAAATAATATATATGCAAAAATACATGTGTATATATGTGTGTGTGTGTATTTATATACATATATATATGAATGACAGATTATTGGCTGCCCACCTAACAACCACTTTCCCCTCCTCCTCCTCCTTTGCGGCAGAGCTGTAATTCTACTGAGGCATTCGCCTTCATCTCAAAATCCTTGGATTGGTCAGGTCCAATCATGGTGATTTCATTCCCCCAACCATTTGTTGCTTTAGGCATGAGCACTGGGGCTTAATCCTGGCAGACGTGAGGTGAAGGGAGTTGGGAGTGGGGGGTGCTGGCACACGCTTCTGGGAAAGCTATTTCCCCATAATAAAAAGGGAGACTTAGGAGAAATGTCTCTCTTCTTCCCTGGAAATCATATTTGCACATAATACCTGGAACTGCTGAGATTACCCTGTGACCCTGAGAGGAAACATCCCTCACACACCAAGGATAGCTGACTAAAAACATGGAAAGTTCTTGGATGATGCCACAGGAATCAGCTGTCTCACAAAGAGAAGAACTACCTACAATTGTCATCAGGCATTCCCTCCAGTACTGCAATATTGGATGTAGGAATTTCCATAACTTACTTAGTGACAATACGGAAGCCTGCTCCCTGCCTACCCAATAACCATTCTTCAGTTCTTTACTAAAAGAGGCTCAGTTTTATTCTGAGCAACAAAGTGCTCAGCTAAAACACAAATTTTCCCAGCCTCTTATAAGCTTGGAGTGGCCAGTGAGATGTGAATAGAAGCTGCTCAGGGTGTGGCTTCCAGGAAAGATCCTTAAGGAGGCTGACTCAGCTGCAGATGTGAGGGCAGGAGTTCCAGAAGCCATCCTGGACCAATAGATGACCCTGGGAGAAAGAATTGGAGCCCCTGACAACAGTGGAACTGCCAGACCAACCCTGGTCTGCCCATTGCTGGACTTCTTTTCCATGGGAAAGAAATAAACCTCTGCCTTGTTTAAGCCACCTTATTTGGGTATTGTGTTATGTGCAGACAGACTTGGGCCTAAACAACACATCTTCTAACAAGGTCACCAAGTACAAATGCTTCCAGTACTCAATGGTAAAGGCAACTTAGTTATCCTAGACATATTTTCAATAGGGTACAGAGTTTCATTTATATGCCCCTTTCTTACTGTTCTCTTTCCCTTCCTGAAGACACAATTGTGTGGGAGGCTATCTCAATATCATACTCATTCCTTCACACCCCAGGTAAAGAACATGATCAACTGGCTTAATTATAAGGAAATTCTGCCTTTGAAAGTGCCTACCAACAGATGTTGTTGACTACTGGTAACAGAAATGCTAGGCAGGATTCACACTAATGAGCTGAATATGAAAAACTTCAAAACCATGAGCCATACAGAAATTATTACTATAATTTCATGCTTACAGCATACATTCCTCATATAAGTTACACACATAAAATCAGCTTCAAAAACACTTTTATTACAGTAGATAATATACACCATGTGTACAACAAAATGTACTCTTTAAATTGGCTTTAAATTTTGCTGAAACTCTGCTTTGAAGAAATAAAAAAGCTCTAAGTACCAAAAATAATCCACAAGGCTGTGAACTTATTTTTGTGAATTAAAGTCACTATACCTAAAATAAGTGGCATTTAAATGAATAATGAGGTCATCAAAAAGTTCAGAGTTTTAACTTCTCATAATCTTCTATAATGAAATGATTTAGTGCTTTTATATAATTACAGGTATTTGATAAACAAATATACCACAGTTTTATAAGGGTACAGAATACTAAATTTTTTCAATATCTAGAAATAAAATATTTTTTTTTATAGAATACCGTTTTTTTTTTTTTTAAGATTTTATTTATTTATTTGACAGAGAGAGAGACACAGCGAGAGAGGGAACACAAGCAGGGGGAGTGGGAGAGGGAGAAGCAGACTTCCCGCGGAGCAGGGAGCCCGATGCAGGGCTCGATCCCAGGACCTGGAATCATGACCTGAGCCGAAGGCAGACGCTTAACGACTGAGCCACCCAGGCGCCCCTAGAAATAAAATATTTTAAAAGTCCCTCTTTCTCACAAGCTTCTCTTTGGGGTTTGTTTGTTTTTTTTTTTTTTTTTTTGGTTATGTGTGTGTGTATGTGTGTGGGTGGTTTTTTTGTTTGTTTTTTTAGGACTAAAACCAAATGATGATGGCAAAGAAGTGTCAGGGAACTTCAAATATTAACAAAAATTTGAGGTTATGTAAATAATGAACTTTGCACCCAAGTCTGTGGGCATATCCCTACCTTAATTAGCAGTTATTTCAAAATATACAAAACGATCAAGGTAATGACAACTTTAAAATAGCCCAACCCTTCTCACTCAAGGGCATCACTATGGCCAGCAAAAAAAACTTTTAGCTGTAAGGGATTTTTCTGAGAAATCTTTTACACAATTGAGTGTTAATCAAAATATCATTAGCACATTGTTTATGGAAAGGGCAAAATCTCAAGACACAAAATCTAAAGTGAAAAGCAACATTAAATTTATTTAATGAACTCTGGAAATTTCATGTTTCATATATATGCCACTCTTCTCCAATTATATTTTTAAATGACATAAAGAGACTCATAATTCCATTAATCCCCAAAACACTAGTATCAAAAAGGGGGGGAATGTGTATATTGCAATGTGACACATCCAATTTTAACAATTCTCCATTTGAGAGGGGGTGCTGACAACAAATAGGTTTTCTGTAATTGGAGGTACTTAAAAGACCTAAGTTTCACTGGTTTACTTTCAAAACTTTCTAGGAGAATGTGTGAAGCCAAGGCATAATAATTTTACTTTAATAATCATGTTTTTAAAATATATTATCTAAATTCCTCTGAATCTGTCTTGGTAATGGAGACTCAAAAATATATAAATCTAGTGATTGGATCAGGATTAAGATTGGCTCTGGTGTTTTGGTTGGCTTTTGAGGCTCTGCTTCTTTTATTATTCCTACTTGTTTTAACATTTCTCTTATGTGAAAATAGTCCATATTTTTTCTCATTAAAAAAATACTTTTACCTGACTCTGAGAAGAAAACTTAAAATAATGTTTTTCACATGTCCAATTCAAACTGCATGATTGGTGTTTTGTTTCTCCTTTTAATTTACAATAAAATTATACCCCTGTGAATCCCAAATAAAGATAACATTGACTTGCTCAAAACTCAGAAACTAAAAATATCATCAGCCTCTGAGTCATTAGAAATCAACATACTGCAGGCTACACTCCATTTGGATGGCTAATTAACTGCATACCTAAATAATATCACTGAACTGCGAATGACCACATATTTAGTAACAAAGTGGTAACTCATGTACTGCTTTGGTTTCTTTTAAAAGAAGCAACTAAAATGTTTTCAGGGATATTAGAAGTTAACAAATGATCATTCTAAAGTTTAATGCTCTTCTCAAGTCCTGAAACCACTAGGCAAAGAAGTGTTTTGTTCCTTTCTTAGAGTTTAAAGAAAAAAAATTAGGTATCTCTGTCCCTGAAACACACTAACAAAAGCAATAAGCTATAAAATACAAATTAAAGAGCAACACTGTTTTTACAACTATGATTTTAATTAAGCCTGGAGGAGAAAATTAACTAATACATTCAAAATATTATCTACATACAAAATAAGACCAATTTTATAATGAACACCAAAATCAAATACTAAAACTTGCAAATAAGATACCTTGTGATTTATTAACATCTTTGATGATTTTCTGAAGTTCTTTCAATTCTGTATCAAGTTCATCATAGTGTAGTTCTCTAGACTCAACCTTTGGAGCTTGGAACAAAGAAGGGTCTGTCCCCAGGTATGAACACTGCAAGTGACCATCATCACTCAGAGTGACTATCACTCCTTTTAAATCACTACAGTAAGAAAGAGAAAATGAGACATAATTCAAATTTTTGGTGGATTTAGACTTGACCAACAATATTTTTATTCAATTTAGTTTCAACATGCCATTAAGAAAATGGCCATACAACTATCTCTAAAGTTTTACATCAAGGACTCAATTCAAATATTTCAAACATGATTTATATTTATATAAACACTCCCAATGTTAGGATTCATTACACAGGGGGAAAAAAACCTTAACAATTATTATAATAGCTGTCACTTTGGGGGACCTAACTACATGATAAATCATGCTCCAAAAGCTTTCCAAGTACTGTATCATTTAATCCTCGCTCCAGCTCCCACTTGGTAGATTCTTTTTTTTTTTTTTTAAGATTTTATTTATTTATTTGAGAGAGAGAATGAGATACAGAGAGCATGAGAGGGGGGAGGGTCAGAAGGAAAAGCAGACTCCCTGCCAAGCAGAGAGCCCGATGCAGGACTCGATCCTGGGACTCCAGGATCATGACCTGAGCCGAAGGCAGTCGCTTAACCAACTGAGCCAGCCAGGTGCCCCCACTTGGTAGATTCTTAAGAGGCATGTGAACACTTGCAAAGCTACCGTGGATCAAGAGTGAGCCTTGGGCTGGCCGAAGATCATGGCTGAGGCACAGGAACAAAGACAGGACAATATGGGCAATGGTGAAAAATATTAGCAAAGTAAGCCCTGCAAGACCTTGAAGAGAAATGAAATCCCTGCTCCTTTCCTTTTCATTCTCCACCCTGGGGACTTGTGTTTGTGCTCTTTCCCCAGGGGCCCCCACCATGACTTCCTTCACACACCTCCTACTAAAGCAGTCACAGTTACTCTTGCTCTTCACTCAGAGAGGGAGGGAGAAGTATCCCATTTCCTCATTTTGTAGCTCTCTCTCCATCCCTCTTCCTCCCATCCTTTCACTCTTGTCTCTGAGGCTCCTTTAATTTTTTTTTTTTACTCTAGTATCTGGACCTAATATATAAATTATAGATAAACTTAGCATATCATTTTTAAAAGTTGTAAATTTTCCTGATCATGCTATAAAAAGTTGAACACTATTTGCTTCCTCCTTAGCTTACTCAGAAGAAAAAATAAGTCAACATTGTCATAAGTCATTTTGAGCTGATGCATAATGAATTTGATTTTCATTTGTTATATTTTCTGGCGGCCTTTGATTTAAAAAAAAAAAAAGAGGTTTCTAGCCTCATTCTAAAGGTTAAATATTAATCAAAACTTACAGAAAATTTGAGAGAAAAAACAACTTGAAAAAAATACTGCTATTCATCTGAAAAAATATATATATAAGGTATTTAAGAGTCTAGGCCTTATTCAGAATGAGTAAGAAATTTTAAAACTCCCCAACGTTGGGTCATGGCAAGTGGTCAGCTCATTAATCAAAAAGCTTAACTTGGCTGAGAGTAGATAGTAACATTGTTCAATCTCTCCTATAGGGTGGCCACCAGCATCCACTTTACCACCTGCCTTCAACACAAAATTCCTTTTTTTTTTTAATATACGTATGCATATCCAGTCCTTATATTTGACTCAGAAGTCAAGAAGTGCTTGAATTTTTACCTCTATTTCTTCAGGTTCTTGATGCATAGAACTTTTTTAAAAATTTTTATTTAAATTTGTTAATTAACATATAGTGTAATATTACTTTCAGGTATACACTATAGTGATTCAACACTTCCATACAACACCCCAGTGTTCATCTCAGTAGGTGCACTCCTTAATCCCCATCACCTATTTTACCCACCTCCCCTCTGGACACAACATTCCTATACATACTTTCTCTAGGACTTACTTAGGCATGGTCTGTGCCACATAACCCTCTGGTATGACTTCAGAGAAACAAAAAATAAATTGATATCACTAACTCAACAGCTAAAAAATTAGACTAGGAGTCAGAGACTCTGGGTTCTAACTCTGACTCTGCCCCTATATAGCAGAGTCAAGTTAGAGAAGTCTTCCTAAATGTTATCTCTAAAATGAGAAAGTGAGACTCAATGATCCTCTATGGTCTTTAAGTTTTATGAATTGGTTCTGTTAATCTAGCTCAGAAAATAAATACTCCCAAAATAAAATTATTTTCTTAAAATAAAGTGTGAAAAGCAACCCCATAGTACCTCTGGGCTTTACCCTTTCTAAGCAGTCAGCTGAAGCCACCTAGTGGCCATGCCATGGAAATCCTAACTTCCAGCTCTGACAAGGCCATTTCAACAGGGCAAACCCTCTGTCCCCTCTGAGTTGTGACTGCGGTCTGTTCCCCATTCCACCCAACCCCACTAAGGTCTGGAAACTTAATGAGTCCTCAGGAAACTCTAGAACACTAAAGACAAGATCTTTGGCTGGCTTCTCAGAGAATGTGGAGATCATCAGTTGGTGTTTTTTTTTTAATTCAGAAGAGTATTTCCATTTTATCTTCACCCTTTGAGCGGTCCATAATATATGAAACCTAGTATGACCCAGTACAAGTATCCCTCAGTATTCACATTTATTTGGTCTATGAATTGGATAACTTATTATTGAATCAGTTTTGTTCCACTGTTTTAGACAGCAAATAGCAACAATTTAGACACAAGAGATTTATCTAAAAATGTATCTAAACCTACTAAGTTTAAGATAGAGTTTAAATAGTAGTGTATACATATATTTCTTCAGACTCTTAAAAAAAATCATTACTGGTGCTCAACCTGTACAAATATAAAAGGGAGGAGTCTTCCCTCACTGAAAGAATTTAACAAAGGTCACCAGAATGTCTTAAAAATAAATCACAAAACTTAAAGCAATTTACTTTTTTCTTCAGTAGCATCAGAATCACTGCATATAATTTAGATAAAATAACAGAAACTTAGACTTCAGTTGAATTCCTTTAAGACTGCGCATTTTATTCCACAGGAACACTGTAATAAGCTCTAAAAACTCTAAAATAAATGAGTGGAATTTCTGTCTAAAACATCTACGATGGGACAGACAATTTGACTGAAGCCTTAGAATACTAATTAATAAGTAAGTCATCACTTGGTATCTTAATTCAAAGAACCAATTTTAAAATACATATATCATTCCTAAAGCTAAGCCAAATTTAAGTATAAAGAAAAAAGGAAAAACACAATCACGGTTGTTGTTTTTTTTTAATCTTTCTAAAGAACATTTTATTTAACAATACTATCCATTTAAGTTAATGTGTAAGCTTCTGTGGATGATAGAATTTTATGCTAGAAGAAGCCATCAAGTAAATCAAGTATGGAATACACTATTACTTGTATCTTTAGAGTTAACATTGCCAAAATTAAGGTCTCCAGATTATTGGTCCTTGAAGCTCATCAGCTAACCCAAGGCATTAGAATAATGTATTTTATGAGGAACCAAGGTCAAAGATGTTATATTCCTAAGACACATAATAATTCTGTGTATTTAGCAATGGAGCATGAAAATAAACAACAGAGGTTACTCAGGAATCTGAAAGTAATTGTTTCATCACTCAGTAAACAGATCCCTGCCTTAACAATACATTCAAACAAAATTCCAGATGGATTTTAAAAGTTAAATTTTAAAATATGAAACTACAAAAATATTTATCTGCCCTTGGGATAGAGAGACCTTTTGCTGTAAGAAAGCAATGGAGAAAACTACAAAGGAAAGGATCACTAAATTAAACAACAAAAAAATTTTAAACTTGTTATATGCTTTAAAAAAATGATAAAAAAGAACAAAAGGCAAACTGGGAAAATATTGGCAACCAACATAAAGTACATAATTTAAGTTGAACCATATGAAGTTGTGAATATTTAACTGTTTTTGACCTATAAAAACTATCTTGTATGTTTCATCTAATATGTAAAGAACTCTTATAAACCAAAAAAAAAAAACCTCACAAATCAATGAAAATGAGATTATATCCCAAAAGGAAAAGGTAAAAGGAAATGTACAATTCAGTTAAAAATAAGTCAATAGATAGATGAAAAATATATTTTTAAAAGCTGTATTTGATTATTTAACACTTTAAACTAGAAAAAGTTGTATTTAATAATCAGTCCTGCTGTTAGAGAAGTTACATGGAAAGCTCTTGTACACTTTCAATGGAAATATAAATTTGTTAAAGATGTTATTAGTGATCAGTTTAGAAATATCTATCAAAAGCCTTAAAAATGTTCATTACTTTTACACAATAATCGACTTCCACAGTTATTAAGGAAACTTAGAAACAACCCAAATGGTAAGAAAAAGGGGAAATATTTTTAAAAGCATGATGTATCTGTAATAGAAAGTATAGAAGCCATTAACAACCATGTTTTACAAATATCTGCTTTCAGAAAAAATAGCTACATATATATAGTGTAAAAGCAAAACACAATATTGCATATATACTTATTTTAATTTTGTAAGATATATGTATATAAAATACAGATTAGAAAAAAAAAATTACCCAAATGCTAATAGAATGGTGACTATCTCTGGTTAGTGAGATTATGAGCTATTTTTATCCTGTCTTATAGTTATAAGATTTTTTGAAACTATTTTTTTTAAGAAAAAAAATGTATGTTCCATTTTCTATCCCCAGAGACTGAATTTGAATTTGCAATTTAAAAGTTAAATAATCTGTGGAATTAAAACTTTTATCCAGTTCTCTATTTTCCGACAAGGCCACTCTATCAAATATGCAACCTGAAAGTATTTGACATAGAGCTCACAAAAGATTAGAAAATGAACAGTTACAATAAAACAAATGAACGGGGGGCGCCTGGGTGGCTCAGTCGTTAAGCGTCTGCCTTCGGCCCAGGTCATGATCCCGGGGTCCTGGGATCGAGTCCCACATCGGGCTCCCTGCTCGGCAGGGAGTCTGCTTCGTCCTCTGACCCTATCCCCTCTCATGTGTTCTCTCTCTCTCATTCTCTCTCTCTCAAATAAATAAATAAAATCTTTAAAAAAAAAAGAATAAGTTCAAGGCAATGAATCTTTCCATAAATAAAACTAGATGTTGGAGTCCTT